CTCCACCTCCCTGGTTCAAGTGATCCTCCTGTCTCAGCCTCCCGAGTAGCTGGGACTACAGGCATCTGCTGCCATGCCTGGCTAACTTTTTTTGTATTTTTAGTAGAGACGGGTTTTTTTCTTTGTTTGTTGGTTGGTTTTTGAGATGAAATCTCGCTCTGTTACCCCGCCTGGAGTGCAGTGCTGTGATCTCAGCTCACTGCAACCTCCACCTCCCAGGTTCAAGTGATTCTCCTGCCTCAGGCTCCCAAGTAGCTGGAATTACAGGCACCCACCACCATGCCTAGCTAATTTTTGTATTTTTAGTAGAGATGGGGTTTCACTCTGTTGGCCAGACTGGTCTTGAACTCCTGACCTCAAGTGATCCGCCCTCCTCGGCCTCCCAAAGGGCTGGGATTACAAGTGTGAAGCACCAAGTCTGGCCAAAAAAAAAATTTTTTTAACTGCAAGCAAAGAGACCTGGAAGAGGCCAGCACTTAGAAGGGCTGAAGGTTGGGGCGCCCTATCTAACCTCCAGGCCAGAGCTGTTTGAAGAAATCCTGATGTGCCCCAAGTGCAAGCCTCATCTGTCACTTTAGATATCTCAGCAGCCACGTTTTAAAGAGGAAAAAACAACAGGTCAAAATTTAAAATACACCTGTAATCTCAGCTACTCGGGAGGTGAGGCAGGAAAATCACTGGAACCCGGGAGGTGGAGGTTGCAGTGAGCCGAGATTGTGCCCTTGCACTCCAGCTTGGGACACAGACTCCATTTCAAAAAAAATTTTTTTAAATATGTTTTATTTAATTCAATATATCTAAAATATTTCAATATGCAATCAATATAAAAATTAATGTGATGCTACCCCAGGTGTGGTGGCTCACTCCTGTAATCCTAGCACTTTGAGAGGCCAAGGTGGGCAGATCACTTGGGGTCCGAAGTTTGAGACCAGCCTGGCCAGCATGGTGAAACACCGTCTCTACTAAAAATACAAAAAAATTAGCCGGGCGTGGTGGTGGACGCCTGTAATCTCAGCTACTCAGGAGGCTGAGGCAGGAGAATCACTGGAACCCAGAAGCCGGAGGTTGCAGTGAGCTGAAATCATGCCATTGCACTCCAGCCTGGCAACAGAGCAAGACTCGTTCCCCCAAAAAATAATAATAATGAAATGTTTTACATTATTTTTCCATAGTACGTCTTGGAAATCTGGTGTGAATTTTGCACTTAGACCACATCTCACTTCAGTCCAGGGACATTCAAATGCCCTATGCCACACACAGCAGGCTTTGTGGCTGCCGAAAGGGACGCTGAGGGGCTTGATCCAGGCAGTCAGCCCCTTCTTGGCCTTTTAGATAAAGGACTCCTCTCTCTCCAAAGTGTGAGGCCAGAGGTGAAGCACAGACAGCCATGCCCCCCTCTGTGTCCCTGTCCATTCTCCTGTTTTCTCCTGGGGCCAGGATCGCTGCCATCCGACAGAAGCATCCACAGTGACAGCTCCCCTCCGGGCCCGGGATGTTCCTGCCAGCCGCCCTGCAATCCTCATTAGAGCAGCAGGGCCTGATTTGATACGGCATGAGAAGGTCACGCCAGGAAGTCAGCTCTTGTTTTTCTTGCAGTGAATCAGTTAGCCCTTAATCTCTGGGGCGTGTGAGGGCCCCCTGCAGTGCTCATTTCCTTCCAGGAGGGATTCTGCCTGAGTGTTCCAGACCTCAGCCTCACTGCCCTCCGCCCAGAGCACCTCCCACTGCACAGCTCAGAGGCCTCCCCTGGCTGCTCCCAGTCTGGAGTCTGGAAACCTCTCCCCAGGGCCCCACTTCCAAAGACTGTCACCTCCCAGGGTAGGGTCAAGCTCAAAGATGAAGCAGCCCTGCTCAGTGGCTCACGCCTGTAATCCCAGCACTTTGGGAGGCTGAGGAGGGTGGATCACTTGAAGTCAGGAGTTCAAGACCAGCCTGGCCAACATGGTGGAACCCCATCTCTACTAAAAATACAAAAATTAACCGGGCATGGTGGTGGGCGCCTGTAATCCCAGCTACTCGAGAGGCTGAAGCAGGAGAATCGCTTGAACCCAGGAGGTGGAGGCTTACAGTGAGCTGAGATCGCATCGCTACACTCCAGCCTGGGCGACAGAGCAAGATTCCATCTCAAAAAAAAAAAAAAAAAAAAAA